GCATTTCTGGGATAATGCTTGGTAATGGTGTATATCCTGCCAACATGGCCCTAGATTGGGTTTTCTAGCATTTTGTTGATGATTTCCTTGTAAATATTCATAGGGGATATTGGTCTATGGGTGCTATGGTTCGAATATCTGTCCCCTCTAAAAGTTATGTTGAAATTTAATCCCCAGTGTGGCAGTATTAGAGATGGGCTTTTTAAAGGTGATTGAGTCACGAGGGCTCTGCCTTTATGAATGGATTAACCTATTCATGGATCAATAGATTAATGGGTTAACAGATGAATGGGGTGCCATTGGAGTGGGACTGGTGACTTTATAAGATGAGAAAGAGAAACCTGAGCTAGCACGCTCAGGTCCCCCATGTGATGCCTTGTGCTGCCTCAGGACTTGACAGAGTCCCCACCAGCAAGAACGCTCTCACCCGATGTGCCCCTCAACCCTGGGCTCCCCAGACTCCAGAACTGTTAGAAATAAATTTTGTTTTTTATAAATTACCCAGTTTCATGTATTCCATCATAAGCAACAGAAAACAGATTAAGACGACAGTTTTCTTGTGATATCTTTGTCTGGCTTTGTTGTGAGGGAATGTTGGTCCCATAAAATGAATTAGAAAAGGTATCATCTCTTCTTTGCTTTTTGAGGACTCTGAGAAGAAATTAACTCTTCTTGAAATGTTTGGTAGATTCATCACTGAAGTCACCTGGTCCTGTTCTTTTTTTGAATGGGAGGTTTTTATTTTGGTTTGTTTTGTTTTAAATTACTGATTCAAACTCTTTCACTGTTATAGGATTTCCTATTTTCTTCTTGAGTCATTTTTGATAGAGTGAGTGTTGCTAGGAATTTTCCCATTCCCTCCAGTTATCTAATTTGTTGGCATTCAATTGTTCATAGAACTCTCTTACAATAGTTGTTAAAAAAATATCTATAAGGCCAATAGCAATGTCTCCACTTTCGTATCTGACTTTATTAATTTGTCTTCTCTTTTTTTTCTTAGTCTAGCTAAAAGTTTGTCAATTTTCTTGATCTTTTTAAAGACCAATTTTTTATTTTGTTCTATTGTTTTTCTATTCTCTATTTGCTTATCTTCTCTTTAATCATTACTACTTCTTTTCTTTTGGCTTTGGGTTGAGTTTGCTCTTTTTTTCTCATTTCTTAAGGTGAAAACTGACATTGTTGATTTGAAATCTTTCTTCCTTTAATATAGGCATTTACAGCTATAAATTTCCCTCTGAGATCTGCTTTCACTGCATCCCATACATTTTAGTATGTTTTTGTTTTATTCATTTTGAACTCTTTTCTAATATCCTTTAGGATTACTTCTTTGACCCATTGGTTGTGTAACAGTGTGTTGTTAATTTCTGCAAATTTGTAAATTTTCCAGTTTTCCTTCCATTATTGATTTCTAATTACATTTCATTGTAGTTGGAGAAGATATTTTGTATTATTTCAACCTTTTAACATTCATGAAGAATTACTAGCAAGGCACAATAGCTCCAGGAATTTTTTGTGGATTATTTGGGACTTTGTACCTTGATAATCATGTTATCTCTGAACAAAGGTAGCTTGCTTTCTTTTCTACTTCTCTCCTTCCTTCTCTTCTTCCTACCTTCCTTCTTTACACCATGCCCAGCTAATTTTTTCTATATGTTTTCAGTTGTCTACCTAATTTCTTTCTAGTTTTTTTTTGTTTTTGTTTTTTTTTTTTTGAGACAGAGTCTTACTCTGTTGCCCAGGCTACAGTGCTGTAGCATCAGCCTAGCTCACAACAACCTCAAACTCCTGGGCTCAAGTGACTACAGGCATCCACTACCATACCCGGCCAATTTTTTCTATATATTTTCAGTTGTCCAATTAATTTCTTTCTATTCTTAGTATAGAAGGGGTCTCGCTCTTGCTCAGGTTGGTTTCGAACTCCTGACCTTGAGCAATCCTCCCGCCTCAGCCTCCCAGAGTGCTAGGATTACAGGCGTGAGCCACCGCGCCTGGCCTGTAGTACATTATGAAATCAAGAAGTCTGAATCCTCCAACTGTCATCTCCTTTATTAAGATAGTTTTGGTGATGCAGGTTCCTTGAGATTCCATTTGTGGATTAAGTTAGATTTTTCTATTTCTGCAACATGTATTTGGAATTTTGACAGGGACTATATTAATCTACAGATTGGTTTTCATAATGTTGTCTATTTCTTAATTTCTTTCAACAATGTTTTATATTTTTAATGTACACATCTATCACCTCAATGGGTAAATTGATTCCTAAGTATTTTATTCTTTTTGATGTTAGTAAAGATGAAATTGTTTTCTTAATTTCTTTGTGGGATCATTCATTGCTAGTGTATAGAAATGCAACTGATTTTCTGTGTTGTGTTTTGTGTGTTGATTTGTATCCTGCAGTTTTGTTAATTAGGTCTAACGGTTATGTAAAATATTAAGGGCTTTGTACATATAAGATCATGTCATGTGTGAACACAGATAATTTTACTTCTTTCTTTCTAATGTCATTGCCCTGTATTCTTTTTTGCCCTGTGTAATTGTTTTGTGTCAACTTCCAATACTATTTTTAATAGATGTGAGGAAAGCAGACACCCTTCTCTTATTCCTGATCTTAGGGGAAAAGCTCTCAGTCTTTCACCAGGAGGATGAGAATGATGTTAGCTGCAGGTTTTCAGGTATGTCTTTATCATGTGGACGAAGTTTCCTGCTATTCCCAACTCATTAAGTGCTTTTATTTTCAAAAAAGGGTGCCATTAGTGGTATAGTGAGATACTATCTATATTCAGGTTCCCTGAGATTCCATTTGTATTTTAGGGTAAGAACCTTCATTTATGTGTATCTGAGTTTCTGATGTCCTCAGAAAAGATGCTCAGCACCACTAGTAACATGCGAGCACTAGTAGTCACCATGAGATACCACCGTATACACACTAGTATGGCATAAAAATTAAAAAGAAAAAGGAAAATCACACGTGTTAGCAAGGATGTACAGAAACTGGAAACCCCACACGCGGCTGGTGGCAATGCAGAATGGTGCAGCCACTGTGGAAAACATCTTGGCAGTTCCTCGAAAAGTAAAATAGAGACTCACCATATCATCCAATAATTCCATTCCCGTACACTCAAAGGTAGTGAAAACAGGTGTTTAAGCAACAGCCTGTACGTGAATGTTCATTGCAGCATTATTCACAGTAGCCAAAAGGTGGAAATAACCTAAATGCCCACCAAATGATAAATATATAAACAGTATGCGGCATATCATACAATATCATTTACCCACAAACAGAAACCAACTCCTGATGCGTGCTACAATGTGGATGAATGTCAAAAACATCACGCTAAGTTAAAGAAGCCTGACTCAAAAGGTCACATATTCTGTAATTCCTTCAATAGGAAATGTCCAAAATAGGTAAGTCCGTGGACACAACAAGCAGATGACTGGTTGCTGGGAGCCAGGGGAGGGTGGTGGAGTGACAGCTGGTACATCTGGGGTTTCCTTTTTGGTGCGATAAAAGTGCTTTGGAACTAGACAGCGGTGGTGGTGGCACAGCACTGTGAATGTACCAAATGCCGATGTACACCTGAAAAGGGTTAATGTTGTGTCATGTTACCTCAATAAAACCTTCTGAATGTTTCATTCTATAGCACCCTATTCTATATTATGGCTGTGATACTCTCTATTACTTCTTTGAGGATGTCAGTTTTCTTTTCCCTACTAAAGACTCTTCTATTTTCCACTTGCTTTTTCATGTAACTGGATTGTCACAAATACCTGATGGGACTGAGTTGCTCGTTCACATTCGAGAGAGGGAGACCAGCAAGCCACGGAAGCGCTGGGCTCGTGGTGGGGCTGGGAACTGTGGGTGCCACTCTAGGTAATGTGGGGGGTTTTGTGTGAAAGAATATCCAGTATTTGGATTTTATAAGGATTTTCTTTTTGGGTTAGTCCAATTCTCTACAAAAGGCTCTAAAATCTCCTGCTTAGGCAGGGCAGCGGCTCAGGCCTGTAAGCCTAGTTCTTTGGGAAGCTGAGGTGGGAGGACTGCTTGAGCCCAGGAGTTGGAGACCAGCCTGGGCAACAGAGTGAGCTCCTGTCTCTACAAAAAATTGAAGAAACAGCTGGGCGTGGAGGTGCACACCTATAGTGCCAGCTACTTGGGAGGCTGACGCAGGAGAATTGCTTGAACCCAGAAGTTGGAGGTTGCCGTGAGCTATGATAATGCCATTGCACTATTGCCTGGGCAACAGAGCCAGACCCTGTCTCAAAAATAAATGAATATTCAAATAAATAAATAACTCCTACTTGGAGGATGAAACCACCATAGCTGCCAACATTCTGGGGGCTGAGTAGCAGAAAAGAACATCAATTTATTTCCTAATTAATATGAAAGTTGCCACCAAAATTTCTTAAAAGGCAAAAACAAAAAGTTGTTATTTTTTGAAATAGAGGCAGGGTTTCCCTCTGTTGCCCACACTGGTGTGCAGTGGCACAATCATAGCTCACTGTGACCCCAAACTCCTGGCATCAAGCGATCCTACTGCCTTAGTATCCCGAGTAGCTAGTACTACGTGTGCACCACCATGCCCGGCTAATTTTTTTATTTTTTTAGAGATGGAGTCTTGCTATGTTGCTCAGGCTGGTGGCGAACTTCTGGCCTCCCAAAAGTTCTTGGATTACAGGTGTGAGCCACTGTGCCAGGCCTAAGAGTTATCTTTTACACTGACTTTATTAACCCCAAATATTGCCTGCATACGTTTTAAATTTTAAGGTATTCATTTTATAAAAGCTGATATGGCAATACCTGAGATAGGACTTGAACAGGCACTTAATGTGTACTCATTGACAAGATTAAATCCACTAGAGAAATACAAATAAAACTAAATCAGCAATAATATTTTACAGAACAATGAACCACTTGCGTGGAAAAAGAATGATATTCAATTTAAGAAAGAGTAAAGAACTTTACAGGAGGGAAAATCAAATGACCATATCTGAAACCATGGTAAAGTGAACAGAGAAAAGTTTACTTAAAATTATAGCTCTCTTCTTCATGCCCATCGAGACAGCGCAGTTTCTCAGAATAACCAAGGAAACATCCCTGATACCGTTTCCATGTACCACTGAGAGTAAAACCACCGTCTAAATAACAAGGCCACCTGTGACACTTAATATATGGCATGGAATTATCATTTCTAGTTTGTAGAGTAGCAATGAGTCTTCCATTTTAGCCACGGTCACTGAAAACTCTTATGAAAATTCCCGCTAAAAGGACCACAACAGCAAGAGCCAGAGCCATTCCACGATAGAGAATCAACTGTCTCAGGGTCAAGACGCCCCCAATGGTGGACACTGCTGGTGGACCATGGTGGACACTGGTGGACGCTGCATACTGGCTGTTTTCTTCCAGTACCATCAGTTGGAGGGTCTGGCTCTCTGGCCTGATGACATCAGGCAAAATCACTCCGTCGGTTCCTTCTCTGCCCGGGATAGGTGGATCTGTTTGCAGAGAACAGTGGGGGAGCGGGGTCAAATAAAGGGATTCCACTGAAACTGACACGAGAATACATTGTAAACAGTGACCATTACTCATCAGTTAGTGATCATGAAATTACATCCAGAACACACTTCACAGGAGAACCCAGAGTGAATTTTGCCAATTATTATGGCTGAGACAAGTTTTATTGAGCAAGAGAGCATGACCTCATGAATCAGCAGCTCTGGCCACACTAAGTTTCAGTACAACAGAAGTTTATACTATACCAGTTTTTTGGGAGGATAGAAATTGAGTATACCAGAGCATGGCCTCCCTTACCTGTTGGGGTAGGTATGGTCTCTTTAATCCCTTTTAGCCCAGCTCGAACTTGTGCCTAGAAACAGGTGTCACATGAAGTAAATGAAGTGTAAGTCAAGTCGAGCCAGTAGCCATTTGGTAGAAGTTCAATTTAAAGTTGCTGCTGAAACTATTGCTGAGGGGTTACGATATCTAGCACATTCTGTCTGGGCCTGAAAATGCTATAAGCCAAGAGAACACAACACCAGAGAACTACTAGTTCCTGCTCAGTGCTCAGCTCACAATAATAATATAAAAACCTGGGGCCAGGCCTGGTGGCTCACCCCTGTAATCCTAGCACTCTGGGAGGTTGAGGTGGGCGGATCGCTCAAGGTCAGGAGTTCAAAACCAGCCTGAGCAAGAGCGAGACCCGTCTCTACTAAGAATAGAAAGAAATTAATTGGACAACTAAAAATATATAGAAAAAATTAGCTGGGCATGGTGGTGCATGCCTGTAGTCCCAGCTACTCGGGAGGCTGAGGCAGGAGGATCGCTTGAGCCCAGGAGTTTGAGGTTGCTGTGAGCTAGGCTGACGCCATGGCACTCTAGCCTGGGCAACAGAGTGACACTCTGTCTCAAAAAAACCCCCAAAAAACAAAAAAACCAAAAAAACCTGCTTGTTGCTAGAGTTGCAAATTTCACATATTGTTTGCATCTGTGCCCTTCAGTGTTCCTACACACAGATAAAAGCAATAAAGGCTAAAGGTCAATGGTGGTGTCATCTGAGTGTAGTTTATGGTCCACCTTATTAACCTCCCATAAAGTTTAGTCCTAAATAAATCAAACTGAAGATAGGAAAGACATCATGCATTGAAATTAGGCAAATCCAGTAGGATTTGAAACCTAGGGTGGGCAAAGCTGAAGCAGTGACCGTTGGTCACCCAAACTCATATTGGGCTCCTTGTTATAACAATAATCACTCCCTCCCCTGGGCCAACCACCCCTCCATGCCATCTTAAGCCTTGACCAGGAACAAGAGCCCGCAACTCAATGCACGGGAAGCTCAACTGGTCAAGGTCCTGACCTTCTATCCATGTGCTATGCTTCTGCCCCAGCGTATTTCCCGCAGATTACAGACACCTAGCGTACTGCTTCTTAGCAGACCATGGGCAAAAAAGAAAATGTTGTAAAGAGCAGCTAACAAGTCAATGGAAATAGAATAACTACTATTTTCCTAATAATGTTACACCAAAACAGCAAAATATTTTTAACCTAATTCCTTTTTTTAAGGTTGATTCCCCAGCCAGTAGATACTAAATCGGCTCCATATTAAGAGGAACATGTGTGGAAATGTGATTTTCTTCTGCCTTCCTCCCCCCAGTAGTAGTAATAACGCATCTCATGTTTCACAGTGAGTCACGCTGCCAATGGCACTGCGAGCGTTTTGACCCTAAGAGGTTCCTCGCCATGCAATGGGATCAAGCAGAGCCCCATTTCCAAAATAACGAGTTACCTGCTCTGCAGCTCTATTCCAGTCTATCCTGAAGATACACACCAAGTAGAAAAGGGCTTGCAAGAAGACACAAAGTATCAATCCAGACCAGAGACCTGTGGGTGTAAAAGCAATATCAGAGATTAGGTCTCTTCAGTTCTATCCCTGTGATCAAGAAAATTCTTCCCTAACTACCGTACCTGCAGAGTGAAACTTCAGTTAAAGTAACTTCCCTAAAACTTCAGATAATTATGGAGCAGGGATTAGACTGAAGTCTGCCACTGAGCTATGATGGCAGTCCATCAGCACTACAAAACACCTGCAAAAGTCTTTGCTGCCTCGTGTGAACAAACATTTACTGACTTCAGTTTCGTGCCAGGCATTGTTTTAAGCGGTTGAGACACAGAACCGAGCCAGCAGACAAGCCGGGTGCCCTCGGGGAGCTCATATCTAATGAAGGGTGGCAGGAGAGGAGGGCAAACAATACACAAGGGACAACCACACACCGTCAGTTCAGCAGTGACAGTGCCATGACAGCACTGGGCAGAGCCACGTGTAACAAGGACCTGCATCCGAGAGTCCGAAAGGGACGCTGGGCCCGAGGCGGGGACCCTGACAGTGCGGAGCCAGCCTGCACGTGTCCAGGACAGGCCCCGCAGGCAGGCCGGGCAGAACCCGGGCCGGGGAGCCCGCCTGCGAGTCCGAGGAGCGGAGCCCAGTTCCGAAGCAGCACGGCGGCAGGCAGCATCCAGGGGACGAGGTGAGAGAAGCAGGCCATGGAGGCTGTGCAAGCCACACGAGGACCCTGGGTTTATCGTACGTCTAATGGAGACCCACCAGAGGGTCTCAGACTGGTCGGTGTGTTTATGGATGTGAGACTTGTTTTCAAAATCTTGCTTTGGAAACCATCCCTCCAACTGCTGTCATGAAAAAGACCACCGAGAATCCAAAAGGGCTCCATAAAAGAATATGTAAATGTGTGTCCACCTGCGAGAAGACACGAGTTTTCACCACTGAAATATCAATAATTGTATTGCGAAGCAAGCTGCTTAGGCTAGAGTTGGGATATGCTATAAATTAGTAGTTTCCTGATTCATTCATAACTTGTCTGGGGCCCCACACTGGCAAAGGAACCCTGAGGCTGTTCTCCACGTTGATGCCTCGTAGTTCAACAAAAACTGGACTAATCCCTTCAGTTTAGAAGTAGATGGATTGACAGTTTATCTCCTTTGATCGAATGCTTCCATTCCTAGGATTCAATTCTAAGGAAAGATCAGAAATGGTGTGAACTCATGTGCCCTGGAGGCTCACTACAACGGTACTTATAAGGTGGAGTGATTTCAATGTCCACTGCTAGGGAGGCATTAAACACATGATACAAGGAAATGTTAATTATACATAGTTGCTAAAAACCATGTCTTCAACAAGTACATGGGGAAATTGTATACTCAGTATAACCTCACATTTGTGAGTAACAGATAACAAATGGGAATAAAATATAGTGAGATACCTCAGCCTTTATAGCTGAAAGTGAAATAAATTATAGGTGATTTTAATTTTCTTCTTTATGTCTCAAGTATTTCCCTTGAATTTCCATAATATTAGTGTATAACTTTAATAATTAAAACGTGTCACTTAATGAATGAATGTGAGCAGTTACTATGTACAGTAGCAAAAAGCTCTTTAATGGACAAAGAGGAAAGTCTGACACATCTCTTTTTTGCAGAGGGGTCACAGGGTCTGTGTTGTCCAGGCTAGAGTGCGGCAGCATCATGTAGCTCACTGTAACTTCAAACTCCTGGGCTCAAGCAATCCTCCTGCTTCAGCCTCCCAGGTAGCTAGGACTACAGGCATGTGCCACCATGCCAGGCTAATTTTTCTTTCTGTCTTTTTTTTTTTTTTGTCTTACTGTGTTGTCCAGGCTGGTCTCATTCTCCTGGCCTTGAAGGGATCCTCCTGCCTTGGCTTCCCAAAGTGCTAGGATCACAGGTGTGAGCCACTGTGCCCAGCCTACATGTCACTTATTCTAAAGGAGCGTAGAGTCTAATAGGGAAGAGCTTTTTTATGTTTTTCTTGTGGTGGTTATTTTTGTTTAAAAGTGAAGTTGATTTGGAAAACCTCAGTAGCTCAGTAAGGGGAGAGACTATTGCTTCGGTTAAATAGCATTTCCCCAATGTCCAGCACAATGCTTGGTAGAGAAGAGCCAGTAATAAATACTTGAGAAGTCTGTTCCTGAATAAAGAATGATGACCTCCAGCCTGGAATAATGAAATACTCCATGGGTCCCAGCTTGTACTGGTCATTAAAATGAGAGATGACATTGAAACCAATTACTCATCCACCAAATGCCATTTCTAAAAAGACAAGATAAGAAACAAAGCACCTATGTTGGTTAGACACAAGAAAGGTCTTCTGACCACTGCAAGATTAATATTTCATGGAGAAGCTGGGTCAGAATCAAAATTTTTTACATGGTAAAACGGTTCTGGTTAGATACAGAATAGAGTTATTTGAATACATATTGCAGCATCATCCAGTGAATTTGTATTTCTAAAGAAATTCCTAGTTTTTCCTAAAGAAAATAAAATTCATTGTTACTAAAAGCAAAAGAAAATGCAGATATGGATATATCATATATACAGAATGCTAACAACTTACTCTCAAAGCACCTAAATTTCACATAATTCTATACATTTATAATCTCAATAAAATGGATAATATTCTCAAAATATATAAATATATTAAATCAGCTCTGTATTAAGAGGAACATGTGTGGAAATGCGATTTTCTTTTGCCTCCCCTTCCCCCAATATTAGATATATTTCATGTTTCACAGTGAGTCATGGTGCCAATGGCACTGTGATCATTTTGACCCCGAAAGATTCCTCACCATGTCATGGGATCAAGTAGAGCCATATTTTAAAAATAATTACTTTATTTTTGTTGTTACGCGATTGATTAATGGTGGCCTAACAAAAGATAGAAAGTTTAAACAGACTGATTTTCAGAGAAGAAACTGAGAAAGTTGTCATGTAGGATAAACCTCTGTAAAACACCATGTCACAATAGTTCTAAATAACAAGTCCACCAAACCTTTATAAAAACAGATTATTCCAATTCTGTTAAATTGTCCCAGGGCATATAAAAAGGGAAATTTTTAAATCATCTCTAAAAAGTAAATATCATTAATATCAAAATCTAACAAAGATATAGAAAAAAGCTATAGATCAATCTTATAAACATCATGGCAACATTCTGAAGTATTAAAAGTTATTTAGCAGCTTGATAAAAGAATATCATAATTATGATTGTCAATATGAGGAAACTAACATATCATTTATCATAATAGAAAAATTATAGGATCATCTTTATAGAAATTAAAAAGGCATTTGAGGCCAGGTCCAGTGTCTCACATCTGTAATCCCAGTAGTGTGGGAGGCCGAGGTGGGAGGATCACTGGAGCCCAGGGGTTTAAGACCTGCCTAGGGAATGTAGAGAGACTCCATCTCTATAAAAAATAAAAATAGAAATTTAGCCAGGTGTGGTGGTGCCAGCCTGTAGTTCTAGCTACTCTGAAGGTTGAAACAGGAGGATTGCTTGAGCCCAGGAGTTCAAGTTTGCAGTGAGGTGTGATTGTACCACTGTGCTCCAGCCTGGGTGACACAGCAAAACCTTATCTCCAGAATGATGACAATAAAAGACTCCACAGATACTACTTCTTCTTCTTCTTCTTCTTTTTTTTTTTTTTTTTTTTGAGACAGAGCCTCACTTTGTTCCCTGGGTCAAAGTGCCGTGGCGTCAGCCTAGCTCACAGCAACCTCAAACTCCTGGGCTCAAGCAATCCTTCTGCCTCAGCCTCCTGAGCAGCTGGGACTACAAGCATGCGCCACCATGCCCGGCTAATTTTTTCTATACATTTTAGTTGTCCAACTAATTTCTTTCTATTTTCAGTAGAGACAGGGTCTCGCTCTTGTCAGGCTGGTCTCGAACTCCTGAGCTCAAACGATCCACCCGCCTCAGCCTCCCAGAGTGCTAGTATTACAGGCGTGAGCCACCGCGATGGCCCACAGATACTTCAACATTTTTTTTTTTTAAGGAAAACATGTAGACACATACATATTTATGGATTTCAGCCCTAAATCCAGCATGCTATTTAGTAGAGCAGTATCACTAAAATCATGAATAGTGCAAGAATTTCCAGTAATACCACAATAATTTATTATACTAGTAGAGGCATTAGGCAAAAGAAAGAAATTTTTAAAAATTTGTAAAGGAGAATATGAGATTTGCAGATATGATTGTACACCTGAAAGATGCAATGAGAATGAACTGAAAACTATATACTATATATATAGTATATATACAAAGCTATATACTATTTCATACAAGAGGAATTCAGAATTGTAACAACGTACAAAATTCACATACAGTGATTAATGGCTTTCATATGTAGTATTAAAGCTTTAGACAAAATTAAATTCAACAGAGCTTATTTGAGCAACAAGCGATTCACGAATCAGGCAGCTCTCAGAACCAGAAAAGCTCTGCCCTGAAGCATCAGCAGCGAGCTTTTACAGGTGGAAAGTGGAAGCAAAGAGGAGAAATCATCTGTTCGGCTACCGCTAGGCGTTTGCCTTATTTGAGCAGGGGATGAGGAGACATTTACTTTATTTGGGCATGGTCTGATTAGTTGGCTGCCTTTGATGGGCTGAAGCTCAGCTATTCGTATTGGTTGAAACCCAGTTGTCTGTTACAAAAAATACGTAATTACTATAGTGTTACTAAGTAACAGTTAATTACCAAATGTTAATACATCACTTAATTACTAGGATACATTCTCAGAAATGTGTTGTTAGGTGATCTTGTCCTTGCCTGAACATTATAATGTACTTACAAAAACCTAGATGGTATAGCCTACTACACACTTAAGCTATATGGTATAGCCTATTGCTCTTAGGGTGCAAACCTGTACAGCATGTTACAGTACTGAATACTGTAGGCAATTGTAACACAATGGTAAGTATTTATGTATCTAAATATGGTTAAATATGGAAAAGGCACAGTAAAAATATGGTATAAAAGATAAAAATTGTTATGAAAGATAAAAAATGGTATACTTGCCAAAGCACTTACCATAAATAGAGTTTGCAGGACTAGAAGTTGTTCTGGGCAAGTCAGTGAGTGGTGAGTGAATGTGAAGGCCTAGGGCATTACTGTATACTACTGTAGACTTTATAAACGATGGACACTTTAGCTACATCAAATTTATAAAAAAATTCTTGCTTCAATAATAAATTAACCTTAGCCTACTGTAACTTTTCTACTTTATAAATTTTTAATCTTTTGACTTTTGTAATGATACTTAGCTTAAAATAGTATACAACTGTACAAAAATATTTTTCCTTTATATCTTTATTCTATAAGTTTTCTATTAAATTTTTTTCTTTTTTACTTTCTAAACTTTTTTGTCAAAAATTCACACAAACACACACGTTAGCCTAGACTTAATCCTGATGGGGTCAGGATCATGAATATCACTGTCTTCTACCTCCATATCTTATCCCACTGGAAGGTCTTCAGGGGCGATAAAATGCATGGAGCTATTGTCTACCATAACAATACCTTCTGAAATACCTCCTGAGGGACCTGCCTGAGGATGTTTTACAGTTAACTTTTTTAAGTAAAAGGAACAAACTCTAAGATAACAACAAAAAGTAAACTCCTAAACTGATAGCAGAGTTGTTTACTACCATTATCAAGTATTATGTACTATATATTATTGTGTGTGCTAGACATTTATACCACTGGTAGCATACAAATATGTGAGTAATATGTTGAGCCATGACATTTTGACAGTTGTGATTCCAACAGGTGATAGAAATTTTCAGCTATTATGATCTTGTGGGATCACTGTCATATATATGGTATTATGTGGTGCATGACTGTATTTGTAAATTAGGTTTTGGTTAATGTACTAGGTTAACATTGTGGTTTGTGTGCAGGAACTCAAAAATATAGACAGACTTAGGCCAACGGCCTCCTGCTTATTAAACTGAACAATTACAAACAACCACTTAAATTATATAACAGAGGGAAGGCCTCGCCTACAGTAATAGCAAAAGGATAACAATGTCTAGGGATAAACTTAAATGAAAATGCTTAATGAGGATAAGGATAAAATCATGCCTGAGCAGAAGCTGCTAAAAATATCCTTGCCTGGAACCCATGGGGCTGCACTAGCTCCTGTGCCATTTGGAGATGCTGTCATTGTCTCCCCTGTCTACTGGAGAGGTGACCCCTTGACAAGGACAGAAGTCCTGGAGTTAGGAATAATCTCTCCTCCACTCCCACTAGAAATGGCCACACTATTGAATCCAGAAGCACAAAGTTACTCTCCTCCTCCTGCCTTCTGATTTCCTAGTAGTGCTTCCTACTGGCAGAACTTCAGGGGAAGCCACCCAGCATGAGAGCCTGGGAAATGTGGTTTACATATTCTGGGCCCCTGCAGTAGAGTATAAAAGGGCAAGGGTAGAACTGAGAAACAAGAGATGAAAAACCTCCACAGAGTCCAGAATAGGAACAGGGAGACCACTGCTATTGTTATATACAGTTCAGGGGAAAATTTATTTGGCTTGAATTAGGATGGAAGTGGTTGGATTCAACATATATTTTGAAGATACAGTGAAAGAGGAGTCAAAGGATGAATCCAAGGACTTTGGCCTGAGTAAATGGGATACAGGATGGTCCCATTTATTGAGACAGGTAACATTGGAGAAGGTATGCATGGTGTGTGTTTATTTGGTGGAGGAGGATAAATAAAAAATTCTACTTAAAGTTAACTTTAAGGTGCTTATTACCAATTCAAGTGGATAAGATATAAACAAACATACCCTCTGGACTTCAGAGGAAACGCTAAGATTAGAGCCTTCTCTGACCACCATCCATGGAGTTAGACGAGGGAGTGACTGCGGAGAAGAGGACCAGGGACTGAGCCCTAGGGCACCTGAGCGCTTAGGACATCAGGACGGGAGAAAGACTGGGCAAAGGAAAACCCAGAGGACTTGGCCAGTGAGCTAAAAGGAAAACCAGAAGACTGCAGGGAAATGGAAAAGAAAGGAAAGCGAGTTTCCAGAAGAGGGGAATGAGTAAGTGCATCAACTGTCGGCCAGCAGAGTCAGATGAGAACTAGGAAGTGAGGAGGAAAGCTCGAGCGGAGTGGGCGTTCGTGGTGGCAGGATGTCTGCTGTAAAGGGGCCATGCAGCCAGAGGAGAATTTTTTTTTATTTCTTTAAAGGATAGCTATGATAATGTTTGTATACTACTGGGAATGACCGCTGTCCCAGCACACAGGAGACGAAGTCCCGGCTTCCCGGCCTGAGGAGGCTACCCTGCGACGGAAGCCGTGAGGTCCGCCCGCGCCACATCAAGCCGACGCCGCTCTCCGCGGAGGGGCCGGGGAGAGGCGGCGGGAGCTGGGGCGGCGCTGGGCTTCGGCGCCCACCCTCCACCGCCCGGAGAGGCGTCGGGCGGCGCCAGGCCTTCCGCGGCCGTCCATTCGGGCACACCCGAGTCACAAAATGGAGGAGGAAGGAAAGCCCCTCTCCAGAGCGCCCCGCGGCGTGGGCCGCTTTCGGCGCAGTCGGGCGCTTCCTGCCCCGCGCCAGACTCCAAGCCGCTCGCCCCCCGCGCCTCAGACCGCTTCTCCCGGACTCCTCTTCTCCCCTTCCGGAGCCACCCCCGGGCTCCTCTCAGCAGCACCTCCGACTTCTTCCCTTCGCCCAGCACCGAGACGCCACACCGGCGGGGCGGCGCCAAGGGGCCGCAAACCCCGCTCCCCCAGCGCCGGCCGCGGTCAGCGCGAGAGGAGTGGGCGGGGGCCGGGCAGGCGTCCGGCTCGCGGCGGTCACGTGGGACGCTGGGACCAATAGGCTCGCGGCTCCGGGTCGGGCCCAGCCCCGCGGCGGCGCGGTCCGGCAGTCGGGCTGGGTGGATGCTGAGGTAGGACGGGAGAGCTGGGGTGGGCGAGCGGGTGCGGCTCGGGGTCTGCGGTGCGGTCCGCCCCGAGGGGGGCGAGGCGAGCGAGGCGCCCGCCACGCCCCCGCGCCGCGGCAACCTCAGACCTCACCTTTCTCCTCAGGACCCGGCCATGGAGCGCGAAGTCCAGCGGGTTCGCCAGGCATTCCGGTCGGGCCGGTCGCGACCCCTGCGGTTCCGGCTGCAGCAGCTCGAGGCCCTGCGGAGGATGGTGCAGGAGCGCGAGAAGGACATCCTGGCGGCCATTGGCGCCGACCTGTGCAAGGTACGCGCCCGGCCGCAGGCCTCCCGGAACCGCAGTCCGCCGGAGCAGCCTTTTTTGGTTTTTGGTTTTAAAAGACATTTCTGGTTACGCAAGCACTGCGAGAGTATGATCTCCAGTGGCACAGATAAAGTCCAGCAGTACGGATTCCGCAAGTTTCCTACGAGGTCCCTCGTCCGCCAGTCTCGCTTAGCGACAGCCCCAGTTGTGCTTTCAGACTCATTCAAAGTGTGCCTGGTGGCCTGCGTAGTTCCTCCTCTGTGAATTGCTGTTTATGTTCTTGTCCATTTCCTTGCGATTTGTGGGAATTCTTTGTATAGTCTGTATTTGTCAGCTAGACACATTGCAAGCTTTCTTTTTTCTGTATCTGTTTCTTTTAACCTCGTTTATGGTTTCTTTTGTAGGCAGGTTTTTTTTTTTTAAATATTCAAATTTTCCTTCATAACTGTATATTATTGGGTTAGCACTCCTCAAGCTTTATGCAATGACAGTCTTGTGATCTTGTTCATATGCAAACTGTGGGTCAGTAGGTCTGTGATGAAGTCTGAGATTCCAAGTTTCTGACAAGGTCTCAGGTGATACCACGGTGCCTCTTATGGAAGCATGCTTTGAGTAGCAAGGTTTTAAGTAGTGTTTAGAGTTTAAATATATTTCTCTCTGTTTTCTGATACTATTGCTGTCATCTTATTTTTGTCTGGAGTCCAGGTATAGCAAGGCTTTGCTGTGGGTTTGTGATACTCCCTTCCCCACAAACCCCCAATTAAACTTTATTTCAAGGAGTAGTAACAGCAGTAGTCGTACCAGTAGTAACTATAAAATTTCTTTTAGAGTCCTTTTGGTGGAGAGGAGATAAGATGCTAAATAAACAAGATGGGAGCCGGGCACGGTGGCTCACGCTTGTAATCCTAGCACTCTGGGAGGCCGAGGCGGGCGGATTGCTTGAGGTCAGGAGTTCGAAACCAGCCTGAGCAAGAGCGAGACCCCGTCTCTACTATAAACAGAAAGAAATTAATTGGCCAACTAATATATATAGAAAAACTTAGCCGGGCATGGTGGCACATGCCTATAGTTCCAGCTACTCGGGAGGCTGAGGCAGGAGGATTGCTAGAGCCCAGGAGTTTGAGGTTGCTGTGAGCTAGGCTGACGCCAGGCCACTCACTCTAGCCTGGGCAACAAAGTGAGACTCTGTCTCAAAAAAAAAACAAACAAAAAAAAACAAAAAACAAGATGGGGTAATTAAGATTCAGAATGTCTGTGAATCACTTATTCATTCTACAAGAATCAAATCTGTATGTGTGTATATATAGGATTACTAAAGAAATACAATAAGTACTCTGCCCTTCAGGGTTTTAGGGTTTTAAACTTGGTTGGGAAACAGAATATACACAGGAAAAATGTGAGTATAGTTATAAACCAGGGTATTAAGGGTGAAGTATTAAGATATAGGTCAAAAGCATAATTGCTATGGTTTGTAAAGTGTGATCAGGACAGGCCATTATTAATAAGGAAAGTCTTCCGAAAGAGGTAATATTTAAGCCTGATTTTACAGGGTGTGGGCATCAGTGGAGAAGAATTTATAGGCACTGAATATATTAGGGAATTAGCCAGTTCTTATTAAGGGGATGAAGGGTGCAAAAGGAAAGATGGCAGACTAGTGACTCTGATAATGCCAGTGATTGTCACTGCAGGTGTACTTGGCCTGAGGTTTTTAACATTCAGGGCCAAGGGTATCATACTCGTTGTGCAAGGTTAACTGTGATTCTCTTATAACAGAGTGAATTCAATGCATACAGTCAGGAAGTCATTACTGTCCTTGGGGAAATTGACCTTATGCTGGAGAATCTTCCTGAATGGATTACTGCTAAGCCAGTTAAGAAGAACCTGCTCACAATGTTGGATGAGGCCTATATTCAACCAGAGCCTCTAGGAGTGGTACTGATTATTGGAGCTTGGAACTACCCCTTCGTTCTCACCATTCAGCCACTGGTAGGAGCCATCGCTGCAGGTCTGGTGCCATCTTATGTCTTTACCCCTTTTTAGAGGGCTTATTCTCTCATATTGGTTGTAAATTAAGGATAGTGGCTAATTAAATACATTTACTTTGGTGGTTTGCCTTGGTTCACACCCACAGGGTATTAAGAATTCATAAATATGTATATTTTAAAGGGGCTGCTGAGGAGATTTGACTATTTTATGAAACACCTGGGGAATGCACCTGTGAGGGTGTAAAGGCATGTGAGTCAACAGGCCCGGGAGTTTGGAGCCAGGAATCTGTATTCTAATGTGGTTTCAGTTGCTGCCTGTAGCCTCAGACCAGCCATTTGATTCTGTCTGACTAGTTTCTTCATACAAATAAAGACTGTGGGAGTAATGCTAGCTTGGGTGTATAGCAAATGACAAGAGATTAATTTTTAACTTTGTGAGATCCGTATCAACAGCTCTATGTTGACATGGTTTGTTTGCCCAATAATTCCAGGGCAGAGAGGAAAATCAAAGGGCAGAATTGCGAGAAAAGTGATAGAAAGCTGGAGAGAGGGAAAGGCTGATGAAGCCTATTTTCAGTGACCTGAAGAAGGTAATAACAACTAAGGAGTTAGCATTTGAGAAGAAAGTGAGACAAACTCATTAAAAGTAGACTTAAGAGCTGCAGAAATAGAGTACCTAGCCTGTCTTTCCCACATGAACACCATCTTGGTGGCTATTAAATTTACTCAAATATTAGATGATATTGTTCTACTTTGATTAGGAAATGCCGTGATTATCAAGCCTTCTGAACTAAGTGAAAATACAGCCAAGATCTTGGCTAAGCTTCTGCCTCAATATTTAGACCAGGTAAGAATGTCTTGACCTAACTCTTTTAATATATCTGTTTATTATGGAAAACACACATTGATTTTCCTGCCAGTGCATGTCATTGCTGGCTGGAGATCTAATTGCAGTTTCCTTAAGCCTCTAACAAATTGGCTTAGAAAAATAGTTCCAAAATATACTGTGGAATAACCCAGGTATTGTGGTTACACAATATATTTAGGCCCATGGCTTCATTAGGTATTCTATTTATAGATCTTTTTCTATAATTTGGTATTTTGGATTAATCCTTGTTTGAGTTAACATATGATTTTAGCCACTATTCATAAATGTATTCATTTAGTGGCTTATTTAATGAGGAACTAGTATTGTGCCAGGTGCTAGCATATTTGCCCCTCACCAGGGGTAAATTCTTCAATAGCTGACTCTGCTTCAGTTAGCTTATAGGGAGAATCAATAATGTACTATATAAATTAAGCCATAGAAAAGTTAAAACTTGAAACATTTGTTTGGCTGCTAAACTATGGTGTGAATGAGAACTAATTAACTTTGAAAGGAGTTCCACAAACCAGCTTTTACTTCCTACTCATACCTGAGAATCTTTTGAATATCTCCCTCTGTCTTCCTTCCTTGCCATCTGTTTTCTGTCATTACTTTTCATGCTGTTATTTGTCTAAGATATTCTCTCTTTTCCAATAGCTATTAATAATAGCGCAGTGCATATAAGGTCTCAGTCCACAGAAGCTGTGTGAATTTACCTACTAACAGATGAGGAAACATGTTCAGGAGTTTGCCTAAGGTCACACAAGCTAGTGAGTGGCAGAGCCCATATTCAATTCAGATGTATTTCAAAAGCAGGTGCTCTAGGTTTGCTATGCTGTGTACACCATTCATTCAGCATATCATGGGTAAGCCCTGCTCTGTGTTGTGTAGAGAGAACACTCAGATAGATATGCAGCTGGAACTTGTCCTGTGGCCATTGACAGCAACCACTATCTCACCAAAATCCTTAGTTTCTACAAACATACCTATCTCATGCATTTCCCTGGTCAAATCCAACCATTTGCACTTTTGTGCCTTTATTACAGAGCTCCTATAGAAAACATTAGACTCTCTGGGTTGGTTTCAAGTAGATTGATGGTTCCTAGACCTAAGCAGACTCTGTATTCTCCACTCATCCTTGGTCAGCTGCCTCTCCTATCCCTCACAGGAACTGGTCTCCACATTCTCCTGGTTTTACTGGATGTACATGTTTATGTTGAAGAAATTGCTGATGTTAGATAATGGGATTAATTTGGCAGTGCAAGAGTTTGTTTCTTTTTCTTTGAGGACCTGTATGTTGTTGTTAATGGTGGTGTTGAGGAAACCACAGAGCTTCTGAAGCAGCGATTTGACCACATTCTCTATACGGGAAACACTGCAGTTGGAAAAATTGTCATGGAAGCTGCTGCCAAGCATCTGACCCCTGTGACTCTTGAACTGGGAGGGAAAAGTCCATGTTATATTGATAAAGACTGTGACCTGGACATTGTTTGCAGGTGAGACTGGCTCTCTGGTTTTTGAGATTTTCCCAGCACAGTGGAGGCTTTTCCTAATAGGTTAGTGTTATCTTTTGCCCTAGACCCCCATGCCTTCTGGCTCCAAGAAACATCATTACGCTTTGGTGTTTGGTGTTCTTAAGAGTAACAGAAGTCTTTCACAAACTG